GTATTGTATTGTATTGTATTGTACTTGTTTTGACAATGGTTCTCTGGTGGTTAACCCTCCCATCTTCATTTTAGAAAAGCTGTTAGGATACATTTTCCCTTAGCATTCAGGTCCACTTGAGTGGAGTCCCCTTTTAATTGTTCAATTATCCTGTTTATTCATGTGTGTGTTTGTGTGTGTGTATGTGTACACATGTGCTGTGTGTGTGTATGAGTGTGTGTTTCAATGATGTGGGATTACTTTGTCACTGTTTGTTTTTGTTACACATTGCCCAGTGTGTAACCCTGTTTGAGTTGGGCAGCCTTATAAATGCATGAAACTGAATGAATGAATGAATGAATGAATGTTCATATCGGAAGATGCAACAATCTTTAGTCATTAATAGCCCTCTTTGTGGTCCTCGCCCATCTGTGTATTTCAGCTGCCTGACAGGTTTAAATTTGCCCCAGAGATGGACACCTACGTTGACTCGTTTCTAGAGGGATGCAACAACCCTGAGAACCAGCTGGCAGTGATGGTTGCCTTCTCCACTCTCACCAACCAAGGTTACCCAGTTGTGCCCACGTTCTGGAAAGTGGTGAGGCATCTCCTTCCCACTGCTCTGCTAAAGTACATTGACTGGCTGAAGAACATGTTTCTCAATCCAGACCTGGACTGCTGTGTGGATTTTGCGACCAAGAGACAGAACGAGAAGAGAACGAGCAGGTGAAGCCCCTCTTTCCCTTTGGGGTGGTTGGAGAATATTCATTGCAGGATAGGGAGCATTTGGAAGGCTTGGCTGAAGGCTGTAGCTTCATCTGTCACGTTGTGCCCCAGTTTCAATACAGTTGCCTGAATTTTATCCCTCTTAGCATTTGATATTCCGTGATAAGGTAATAAAACCTCAGTTTACAGACTTCCAGTTAGTAGACTGGATATAATGAGCTATATTTCTCTCCAAGTATTCTCCAAACTAATGGACAAATCAGTTGCACTGGAAATAACCTAAGTGAGCAGTTAAATGCACATTAATCTAACTTTAATTTTACAATTGGGATACTTGCATCAGTTGTGTAAGGCTACTATTATGCAAATTAGGTAAATTGATGAAAATATTGTAAATCACTCTGATGAACATCTGAAAGTAGCAGATGCCCCTTTCCCCAAATGGTTCATTAAAACCAAGTCCTATCACACTGGCCCATTATTAATAGCCACTCTTTCATATAACTAAAGGAGATAATAGATATTAGCTTCATTGCTGTCCTGCAGACTTTATTGTCCTTTGTATGGTATCAAATTATTTTAATGTGTTAAAATTGCCTAGAGAGGTGCTGGAGGACAGGCAGTAGATTAGGATTTTAAAGAAACACATGATAACATGAAAGAGCTGTTAATGGCATTGTGGCGCTCTCTTTCGGTCAATCAGCATAACTGACCACAGCATCACACGGCTAAGGAAATGGATCATCGGCCGCCTCATTGGAATTGCTGAACACCCACAGGTCAACAAGGAGGATGAGCTTGTCATGGACATTTGCAGGTAAAGGAAATGACATGAGTGGCTAGGGACATTTAGAGGAGGGGAAGTCAAAAAGTCAAAATGGTAACTCCTTAGACCTGAGATAGCGAAACTATGGCACGCGTGGCAGAAGTGGCATGCAGAGCCCTCTCTGAGGGCACACACATCATCGCCACCTGCTCTTCTGATTTCTGGTGCACAGCTGATCTTCATGGGTGTTGGAGTGCCTGAAATCGCCCCGAAAATCGCCCAAAAACCAGGCCTGTTTTCAGGCATTTTGGGGGCCTTTTTCCGGCTGCTTTTTGGGACAAAAATCCCCCCCCCCCAAAAAAAAACTGGCCTGGAAAACGGCTGAAAAGCAGGCCATTTTCAGGCTGTTTTGGGGCCTTTTTCAAGCTGTTTTCTGGGCCTTTTCTGGTTATTTTTGATTATTTACGGCTTGAAAACAGGTATCCACATGCCAGCAAGCTGGTCTTCGGTGTTTCCAATGCTCTGGAGTGCGCAAAGACCAGCTGGCCAGCTGTTCCGATTTGGGAACTCGGTGCCAAAAAGGTTCGCCATCACTGCCTTAGACACAACATCTCACACAAATAGGCCTAGTTAAGACTCTTAGAACACTGTTTTTGAAGAAAAAGAGAAACAGTTTTAATCCAAATTTAATTTCTCTACTTGGCAGCCTTTTTAGGTTTTAGGCACCTAAAATGGGCAGTAATACGTGTTTTCTAAAAATGGCCAACATTTTTCAAGTTTTGTAAATCATATACAGTAAGGTTTAAATGATTTCATCCCCAAGACCTTGAAAAGGCTGTTGTACAAATGCTGAAAACTGACAAGGTTTAACGATGTTCTGACTGTTTGATCATTTTTATCTTATATCATTTAATTTTAGGGAATGCTGGACACCTTTTGGGAACATCACGGGTGTTTTTTATGGAGCTATGGCCATTGCTTTGTCAGCCTCTATTACAAACTGTCTCATGTGCAGGATGGATATTTCGGTTCTGGTTTTAAAGTTATAACAAATGAGGATATGAAACTACTGTGTTTCCTCGAAAATAAGACAGGGTCTTATTTTCTTTTGACCCCCGAAATAAGTGCTTGTCCTTATGTTCAGGGAGGTCTTATTATTGTTGAGGTGTAGGAGGCAGCGAGCATGGTCACCTCATGGCTGCTGCGGCAGTGAGGCGCAAGGCGCTTCGCCCACTCTTTTCTAGAGCTAGGTTTGTGGGAGTGGCCGTTGGAAAGAGCGTGTGGAATGTCTGGGGCATGTTACCCCTCCCTCCCCCCACCTCGTGGAAGGCTTATTTTCACGGGAGGGATTATTTTAGCGCATGCACTCAAAAGCCTGATTGGGCTTATTATCCGGAAAGGCCTTATTTTTGGGGAAACAGGGTTGTTTTCAAACAAAACCCATTATTTTTGTGTCCCTATCAAGTTTCTAGATATTCCGACAAGGTTTTTGGTTTGGATTACGCTCTAAGGATGTCTGTTTGGTTTAGATTTAACTTGTGTGTTTACAAACCATGAAATGTGGCTGAGGGCTGAGTAAATACTGCTTGTTTATTTATTCACAACCAACCATGGTTAAACAATGCATGACATATCACATGGTAGGAATGGTTTCTGTTTAATGTGATTAAGACTTAGCTTCTATCCATGTATTGAGAAGACTCTCTCTCTTTCAGATTCTGCTTCTTTCATGCTTTTTTTGAGACCAAGAAACGATTCCCAAAGATAACAGAAACAAAAAGTTCTCCTTCAGTTCCCCTGAATGAACAGTCTCGAACAGTAGCTGCAGATTCGTTTTTCAGGTATCAAACGTGGCTTCTTTCTTGCTTGGCTCATTGGGATGACTAGTATGGAATAGTAATAATAGGAGAGTCAGTTTGGCGTAGTGGTTAAGATGCTGGCCTAGAAACTAGGGGACCTGAGTTCTATTCCTGTCTTAGGCATGAAAACCAGCTAGATGACTTCAGGCCATTCGCTATCTCTCAGCCCAACCCATCACATAGGATTATTGTGGGGAAGATAGGAGAAAGGAGTGTTTACCACCTTGAGTTCACCACCTTGAGTCACTTATAAAGTAATAAGAGTAATAAGAAATTAATTTATCTATCTTCTATCTATCTATCATCTATCTATCTATCTATCTATCTATCTATCTATCTATCTATCTATCTATCTATCTAT